TGAAGTCGTGCAGTTGTAATTGAATTAAATTCGATTAAAAAGGGGGGAGGGGGAAATAAAGAACAAATTATGTACAGAATTTTCGGATACTCACATACATATTTACAGTTTGATTTTGCGAGCCTTACATACATTTTTGATAAAATAATATGTAAAATAGCGTATACAGTATATTTTATTGATTCAATTTGTGGTGTAACACAAAATACAGCCGTGATCGCGTTTCTTCTTTGGTATGACTGACTTAAATCGTTAAAATATTAAACCGTGCGGTTATTGTTCATCGTTGGACGTAGGTATCGTAAAACAATTTTCGGAGACGAACAAAGTGATAAAAAAAACAAAATATGATTTCGTACGCCATTGTGTCGTCCGTGGACGGCACCACCCCTTTTGGCGTGTATTAATATTTTCGACTAGCGCCGAGTGGTATTTTGTTTTCGGAAAACCTCAAAAAAAAAAAAACTCACGCCCCCTCCGCATCGGTCTTACCGACACAATTTATGGTATACCGACTACACCATGACCGAAGACCACTGGGAATCGGTCTAGAAATTTTTTTCACACCATCCGTAATTACAAGAGGCAATAAGTATTTTGGGTGGTCCTAACAAAAATGTATCTATGTATGTATGTATGTATAAACTCATCCGTGCGCGTTATAGTTGGATATCTATACATATATATTTATACATATATATCGATTTTAGAGTTGATTGGAGTCAAACCGTCAGACCGTAATCGTGACCCCGGCACACACACGCGGTAATTGTTGGTTAAGGTTCTTTTTTTTTCTTCCTTTCTTTCACCTATATTATTTTTCTTTTACCTTAATTTTTATTTATGTATTTATTAACACCAACCACCGCATCAACGGCGGCGTTAACCGGAATCACGACCGTTTTCCTTATTTCCATTCTCTTATGATCCTGCGTACAATATGCGGCGTTTCACATATTAGGGCCCTCCGCACCGAACATATATATATTATAATATACTGTAGAGCACATATAGGTATCACTTGTATATTATATTATGTTGAAATGCACGCACCCTTTCGACGAGTTTACTGCTGGTCCGGTTTACGACCCGCGCCCGTTGTGTTTTTCCCATTTAAAAAAATGTAAAATACAGAGGAATCAACGCGGGAGAGAAACGTTTATGTTGTGGAAAAAAAGAATAACGTTAACACACGCCGGCGCGTTCTTTTTAACACCTCTGCGCGACTATATGACGCTTATACCTGTACACCTTGTATGCAATAATGTTGTATAATATAATATACATTATAGACTAATGCAATACCCACACAACCGCGGTGTGTTTTATAATTCTATTAACGCGTGTGTTTTTTTTTCTATAGGCGTGAAAAGGAAGCCTCCTCGACGCCATCGTGTCGTCTTCGGATAGACTATTTTTTTTTTCTTCTCTTCCCCATTCAAAAACAGACATCACACGACCGCCGATGACTGCGTACCTACCATACATTGCACGGTTTACCGATTACACACGGCCAGCGTGTATGTACACCGAACGGGGTCCTATCTTACGGTTCATAATTTTCTCTGCCGTTCATTCATCGTCGACGGCCACCACATTAGCCCGGGCAATAGTACTCGACGCTATATTACACCGTACACTGTGCACGATAATAATTATATTAACGCATCTAGATATCGTTTTAATTCGAACATTTTGAACGGCCTTTGTTCCGGGGTAATATAATATAATATGTACATAATGAATCAACATATATATAGTATTATATTCGAACACAAATCAACACAATCGTCCGCATAATTTACATTACAAAACTTAACGGAGTTGTTTTTAATGTGGTACGATAACGTTTTATATAAATAAAATAATATACATATCTACCAGGGTGTTCCTTATTTTACATATTTTTATTTTTTGTGCCATGTTACATGTTTCATGTTACTGTAACTTTTTGTTACACTATAATGGCGTCTGTTTTCATCGTTTTTCACTATTTCATTCATGTAAACTATTTCATTCTCTGACGGTGACATCCAAAGAATAAAAGTGTTGTACAGATTCAGAGCAATTGCTTTATCATTGAGTACTTTTCGTAAATATGTACCAATCGCATAAGCCTCGATGTATTTTTAACGTTGATTTGGCTAAACCGACTAAAATAGGTCTACAGACAAATCATCAAACGTCGTAGCCTACGATTAGACTGCTTACTTTTCTCAATGCAAAAAAATATATCACAAGCTATTGCGACAATCGCGGGTTTGTCTGTAACACTAGAATCTCGGTTAGCGCCGTTATGTTATTGTTTGACGTAAACGGGCTTTGATATGCTAAAGTTAAGAGTATCCACACTTCATGCAGATACATCAATACATAGATATGTCTTGCAATCTAGTATCCCTAATAAATAATATCTTATCTCTATTCTATTATCTCGAATCCACTAACTCTATTAATTCACCTCCATACTTCTCCATAATCCATAATGACATCAGCGCTGTGACACAAAACGTGATAGACAAATTTTCAGAATGACCCCTAACCAGCCGTAAGACATATCCATGTCAAAATTAATTTAAAAAAAAATTGTTATTAGGAAGATTGTATATTTTCTTTAACTGTCGTAAAATATTGTACAGATAGAAATCGGATTTAAACTATCTTTAAAAATTTGTGCAATATCTCCGACAAAAATTAAAAAAGTAATTAAATAAATTAGATACCAAGTAATATGAAGCAATACAAGACGATACAGTAGATAGAAAGAAATAAAAGATTGGGACAAGAACAGCAGGTACCGCATAGCAGTAAATGCTTAATACCAAAACAACATATAAAATTAAAAAAAAAAAAAATAAGATAAGTAGGTAACACTTTTGCTTAAAGACAAGACACCGTAGTACAAAAATCAATATCTTCTCAGCTATTCTAGTGGAAACCATTTGTTAGCCGCAGCTTTGGAACGTATACATACTTTTTTTAAACTCTTTATACCTAATTTCATATAGAATTCATAACAAATAACAGTCAAGAGTGAATAATCTTGATGTTTAAAGGTTAATCGACATTAACCACTGTGGCATAGCTCAACAGCGCTCTTGTGTTCGTAATGCAAAGAGGCCGAATCCCACAGAAGTTCAAAACAATATTGAAGTGGCTGGGAAATTACAAATATTTTCTCGTGAACAAATCGGCCGAGCCAATGTCAGATATCAGCTCCCAAATGGCACATACAATACACAGATGATTGTAGACCATCTCAGAGTCGCTATTCATGCTTTGAAAGTTTTTCACAGAAATGTATCCACTTATAATTTATAGGTTGATGAATTTCAATGCTGCCATAGATCCCATATTGCTGAAGAGAAAAGTTTTCGATGATGAACATAAAAGGACAGAACCATCATTGAAAATATCATCGAACATTTTTACAAGAACTTATAATTCATCTACAATCAGAACGGATCCACTACTTTGGAGCCGATTCCAGCTAAGAAAACTTATTTTTTAAGCAGCAGTTCACGAAAGTATCTACCATAGTTTATTAAATATCTAATTTAAACACTCTATTCGTTTAATTATATTTTTTTATCTTGTCGCACAAAACAAATACAAGTGCAAATTTATTTTGACTGTGATAAAATATTCTTTGGCGTCTACACGACACCAAAATAATAATTGTTCTATTCAGTTGAATAAGATAACATTTTTTTTACGGTAAAAATATACAACTTTTAGACTAACTATAGTGCATTTAATTTTTTTAATATTATTTATTTATAACAGACTATACGTCTAAAATACTATATATATATACATAAGTAATAACAGCAAAGTTCATAGCTGAAAGTATAAAACTATAAGCCCAAACACTTTGTCAGATACATACACATGTGTTATACAAATAACAGTTAAATGAAAAATCTACACTATCTAATGTATAATCAAATGATACTTATAATACCTATGATGTCGTGCTTATTAGAAATGTCCTATCTGTCAGGAAGTTTCTGGTATATGTTTCTATATGTTAGGATATTTCTTCATAGCACGCAGTGTGGTATTTTGGCAAAAAGGGTATAAGATTATATTTTATTTTGTTTAAACTATTACAGTACATTACCCTTTTATCATAATACTCACTATCTATTTAGTACCTAATCATATAAACATAAACCTTTAAGAGCAAATATGTGTAATATAACACATAAAATTACTAATTAGCCTACTCGGTATTTAAGTTAAATCTGGAGAAATGTTCAACATTTATTATTAAAAACTTAACCGGTAAGTGAAATTGACTTGCTCTCTTTTGCCTAAACATCGCAGAATTATATTAAATTAATAGAATAGCTAGACATATAATACCTACAGAGATAACAAAATGTTATTATGTTGAATATTTCAAATGTATTATAAATTTCGAAATGATAGTAAATAAAAATATGGATTTGTATAATTAATTTTATTTTCAAATGGTTGTATATTTTTCAAGAGACCATGATATTAACCGGGGTCTGTGTCAAGCATAGGCAAATAATCATACTATCTGAATGTGTAATGGTTTGAGTTTGTTTAATTTCTGGTAAAAAAAATTTAAATACATACTTACAAATTTTGTCATACATTTAATGTACATGCCTATTATTTAAAATATATAAGTTCTTATTATTATAAGTTTATTTCATAATAATAATTAGTTCACCATTAATTCAAATGAGGTGAATTTTCTGTGCAGCATTCTGTTGGTGAGTGTTTGCGTTAAATAATGTAATTACCGCAAAGTAGGTCGCCCTATAGTGCTTTTGATTCAAAAATAATAATCAATATACTAACATAATGTTCAACAAAGGGTGGTGATATATTATAAGGCAGACAAACCATACTGTAACTATAGCGCAGGACGGTCAAAGCTTAACGATAATTAAATTATTAAGTTACCGAATCGTTTATGCGGCTTCGGACCACCCTACAATAATCCTTAGCGATTGTGCCTCGAGTTGCGGCATTCGATGTGAGTCCTTCGTGACTTGTCCAGTAAACTTGGCGTCAACTCGGTCGTTCCTGGAGCTTAAAATAACTGAGGATAGTTTTTTGAATCAGGTTCCGTTTGAATTCGAAACGTTTCGCTCGGACGCCATGGTAAACCTAGCTGCCGACCCTTTGGACTTAAAGTCTTTGCCGGATGCCGGAGACCGCTTCGTCATCGGAAAGTTGTTGGCATCCGGAGTCTGTAGCAACGTCTTTGAAGCCACTGACTCAGAAACAGGCAAGATGATCCGATGCTAATAATCTAGTTAAACGGCGACACTACTAATAACATTTTATTTGCACTATCCATGATCTATAAACATGTAAATATTAATTCAACGCTCTCATACAATAATTGTAAAAAGTCCTCTTAACGTAAAGTGTTGTCGAAACCTAAAAATTATAGTATAGCATGCTTGCTAAAAAAAGACCGCAATTACTACTAATAACCTATAAAATGATGTTTGCTTAGTCAAATTACCCAAAATTTAGTAAAGGCAAAGGGATTCTTAAAGTAATAAGTGCTCTACCTAAATATAGGTTTCGGTGTCACAAAAAAAATAAATTACTAAAGAATATTAAACAATAGTCGACAAGTGTTAAGGTAAATTACTACGTTTCTATGAAGTTTAATATAAGTATTATAATATGGTTATTAACTATAAATATTTATATATATATGTGCTCGCGCGTGTGTTTTAGGGGGGGGGGGTATAAGTTTTACTTATACATATTTTTTTCATAGCCTTTATTGGACGAAAGTTTGGTTCGACAATTAAATTTTAAATACAAATTTTATTTAAATTTTTAAATTAAATCCTTCTTAACAAAAATATAAATTATACTTAATTATATAGAAAATCCTAAGATAAATCCAATGTGTGACGTTATGGTAAATATACAGCTAATAAGACGATGAGAGAAAGTTGGAAGGGAGAGGGGATCATTTGTGCTGCCAAGTTCGTAAACTATATTTTTCATAAACTTAAGCAATGATAAATAAGTGATGAGAAGTCCATATGGGTTTGAAAAAAGGAGGCAGTTGAGGTAGCAAGTTTCGTGACCAATGACTGCAGAGTGACTTAAGACCTAAAGAAACTCCATTAGATCAGAACATACAGGACAAGAGAGCTCTAATATTTAGAGCTATAGTTATAACAGAGCAAATTAAAAAAAATAGCAGAACGATGGTTGTACACTCAATAGTAAAAAATAACAAAGGCTAGGAATCAATAGAGAAAGATGTTTTTAAGCATAGTAAGTGCATCCGGAAGTAGAAGTCGAAGATAAACTAAAGGAATAAATAAAATAAGAACCTGTGAAGGTTGTTGGTGGACATGGGTTGGTAGAAATATGCAATATTAGAAGTCGAGTCTCTTAAAAATGAAAAATAAACTTATTAGGTACTACAAAATATACAAAAAAAAGGTAAATCATAATTATTATATAGAATTTATAGCTATTACACACTTTTTACCAGTTTGGTCTTTCTCAATAACCTGTTCCAGGTTAAATACAATTTGTATTTTAACATTATCTCACTAGACAAAATAAGTACATTACTGTAAGAGCGTTAGCTGACTGCTACTGATGATTGAAAGGATCGTAAACGATAGTGGGGATGATTATGACGGTGACGATATACTTAATAAAATATGTTGATGCATTTTGTATTATGCATCGATACACAAAGTAAATGTGGGGCGCAATACAACGCGGCGGCCGTCACTAATGACCTAAACCAGAAACACCAGAACATACTGGCTGTCATTTCCACTCGGTCGTAAAATTGATTAATATAGAAAGATAACTTAAATCTCATAAAAAAAAAAGAAAGAAAAATAATCGCTTGTCAAATTTTTAAAACTTCAATAATAATTTTGTTTTTGTTTTTACATAAGATGGTTTTGTTTATCACTATTTGTAAACCGGTGTTGGTGAGTTGCGGCCCAATCCCTAAATCAAGTACGAGTTGCGGTCCAGGTTTATGAAAGGGACGTATGAGTTGCGGCCCGGGTTTAGGAGAGAAACGTATGAGTTGCGGCCACATAATAATTACCACTTTATATTAGCCTATTAGCTTTACTCAGGAGACACCAAATAGAGTTTTTTGGTCAAGTTAAGGTCAAGTTTCGTCATGTTATTTGCCGATGAGCGGTTCCGTCGTTGTCATTTTAGTTATTTTATATTATTGAGTTGACGAAAATTCATCTGTCCTAACTTTGACACTCTAATAACTTCAAAAGTAACGAGATCACATAATATAAAAACAATGCGAAAATTAAAATTAAAAAATTAATTAAATCCTATAGGCTATAAGATATTGAGTGGATCTCTTTAAAAAAATCGTCCTGTATAAATAAATTGGCGATAAAAGTTTCAAGATAAAAAAGGTTGTACGGGCCGCAACTCATACGTCCATCAAAAACTGCTGGGCCGCAACTTATACGTCCACCGAAAACTGCCGGGCCGCAATTCACCGGTCTCCGACATCGTAAACAACACCTCGGGCCGCAACTCACCTACAGCCTTTTAAACAGACAAAAACAAATATAATACTTTCACTAAACTTTATCGTGTCGTTTTCTGCAGCTGGCTATAGCTTCTTACCAGTGATAATTTATAATACATAACAAGACAACAAAATAGGTACAAATTATTGTAATTAATAATTTGTCATGTTTTCAAACAGGGAACCGTGTAGCGATTAAAGTTCAAAGCACGAATGACATAACGGATTTGGAAAAAGATATCAACGAAGAATACCGCATTTTAAGAGATCTGTCGTCACATCCGAATATACCAGACTTTTATGGCGCTTATGCAAACAAGGATGGCAGAGAATTGTGGTTCGTAATGGAGGTGAGTCGAAGTACTTTATATTTTTTATATTCGGCTTGAATTAATTGTTTTGTTATAATTTTTGTCAATTAATCTTTTCTATTTCCCCCACTCTTTTAAAACTTGGTAGTCATTTTTCTTTATAGGTTCCTTAGAATTGACTTCCTTAATCGACTTCTTTCTCAAATACATTTAGTTTTTGTTCCGGGAATGTTAATGCAATGGTTCCCCTTGCCTTCAGCGTGAAACGTTTTTTTTACGAGATAGTTTTGTTAAGCCTAATCTCCAGCCCCTAACGTGGAGAACTAGAGTTCGGAACTCGGGTGCGCTAAATCCGTTTTATCCACGAGGACTTTTAATTCAGTTACTAAATTACTTACAATAGGAGGAATAATAAGTAATAGATGATATAAGTTTTTCCAATAACGTTACAAAATAGTGTGCAAAACGGATGTTTTACATATGTTGAAGTTATTCTATTGATGGAAGATGATGTAGGTAGTTAAGGAACACACATTTAAGGTCAGTGAAAACTAACTGAAAAGAAAAAACAAAGAAAAACGTGATCCGATGTATTTTTTTTAGAAAATAACTAAAACTGGTAATTATTGAAAATGGAAAGATGTTAATTTAAGGGAAAAGAGTGCGAATGCTTAAGTGGTTAAAATCATTTTATCTGTAATATAGTTTTAAAAAAGTTTAGTAACAATATCGAGCATTAACTGGCTAAACAAAATAAAAAAAAGTTCTTTAATGTCACCAAAAGCAATACAGGATTTAAAGTTTAAAAAATAACTGTTTGTTTTGCACTCACACGGATCTTGTATGCATTCACAGTTGTGCGAAGGAGGAACTCTAGTGGATTTTATTAACGGTTTATTGATACAAAACAAGAAAATGACAGAAGGACAAATTGGATATATACTCAAAGAACTCATAAAGGTAATTTTATCATAATTATTTTAATATGCATGTAAACTTCGTCAATTACTAGGTTAGCAATCAAATTGTATAGGTATCAATTAGCACTAACAACTAAATCTACAGGGTAGTTAATAGTTTAAGCAAGTTGTTAACATAATATTGCTTGTACTCAAATTTAGAAGTATATGTGAATTACTGTATAATTTTAACTGTAATTCAAGTTCAGCAAATGAGAGATAATGCAATATTTCTTAAAATTAGTTTTAAAATTCCAACAACCACGTTCCTATATTAAAAATAAAAATCGTAGTTGGTTAAATTATTTTAACTACATACAATTCACGTTAAGCACGACTTAGCTTGTAAAAATAAAACAAGATAAATTCGTAGAAAACGTACAACTTTGGATTTGGTAATTTGATACTTATAATCGAAACCCGGACACATGCTACATAAACTACCCGGTCTTGGATCTACGAAAATAAATTTGCATTAAGTGAATCCAAGTGAATTTCTGCTCTATTCCATATATATTATTTGTTTTCTTTTCTCCTTAACTATTTAATTCTGTTTACTTTACAGGTAGTGTGCTTTCTACACGAAAACCATGTTGTACACAGGGACATACGTGGTTCCAATTTACTGTTGACTAAAGAAGGACAAGTAAAACTTGCGAGTTTCGGCCAATCCAGGTAACGCATAAATCACATTATAAAGTATTGGAAAATTAAAAAAAAAATGTGTTACTGTTCGGTTAAACGACATTGTATGGTACAAAACCAACCACATTGTAGACAAAAATTATTAAATAAACGGAGTCACTATTAAACGCTGAATGATAGATGTCTTTGTTGATAATCAACTTTTCTAGAGAATAACACTTTTAACAAAGAGCGAAAAGTCTGATACAGTCACTAAATTTAGAGTTGATGTGAAAACCGTGTACTTTTTGTTGGTTATATTTTATGCTCAAGCTATTTCTCAAAAAATGCGACTAACGTGTCGATGGTTTTAAATTTTATTGCCTACATTGCCTGGTTGGGGCGGGGTCATCAGCTTTTTTGGATTTTCCAAAACTTATTTGTGGGTTATATTATAATATTGTATTCCAGAGAATGCGACCGAAATATATATCATGTCGCATTTGAGTTTTTACTGCTCTGTTATAATAGTACACATAACGTTATGTGCGAGTATAGTAGTATATACTTTTGTATATACACAACCGGCTGATGTTATAATGTTTACTTGGATTGGTAGGCGATGACGTCATGAACTAAGAATTACATTGTCGTTATTAGTTTTTTTATTATTATACTTATAAATGTGTTTTGTATAAACATAAATCATAATATCGGTAACAACAATGATCCGGTAGGGAACTACAGAGTCCGGGCTTCAAGACAAGCACCTGCGTTGGATCTCCGGCATGGATGGCGCCCGAAGTGGTGTTGACCGAATACAAGGACAATTCAGGCGAACCTCCCAGCTACGACAGAAAGGTGGACGTCTGGGCTTTGGGTAAGGCGTTTCGATCAAACTCAAATAATATAAAAATAAACAAAGCATATCGATGAAAAGTACAAAAATACACGTTTTAGCTAGCGATAATAAAACATGGTTTGGTTTTTTACAACTTGTCGGTTTTTTTTATACTTGTAACTTTATTCTATGCACTTATACTGATATTAACAATCAAGTTTATCTTCTGGGAAGTAACCGACTAACAGATAAGTTTTCGTCATTTTGCATAAAAGTCTGTCATTCCCCATGATTTACATTGTATACCACCTATAGAATGTGTATGTTTTTGTAGTTGCTGTTATATGATTTTTGTATTTGATTTGCAGCGTATAATATTTGTGTTGACAAAATCGAGGTCAATTCATAATTTATTGAAAAATAAAAAAAGCCATTTTTAAGAGAGGGTTTTCTGAAGGTATCAACTAGTAGATAACCAATTTTGAACAACCATTTGTTAAAAAATATTAATGATTAAAAGTGTAGGCAGGGATAATATGGATATGCAGCGAAACAAATATAACTTTTATTTGTGTGCTCTAGGTTGATTTACAGCTCTTGCCCAAGTTTAAATATTAATTAAATTAGAATAATATTTCAATGAGCTTATTAACTATCGTGGAACACCCTAAATACGATTTCAATATAAGTGTAATTTTTAATTTACCAAATTAATAGTTAGAACTATGATTGTCTGAAAAATTAGTGTTGTACAATATTTAAACTTTAAACTTTATCTTAGTTATATATATGTCATTATAATTATTAACATTTTTTTTTATTAACATTGGATTATCCAAATAATCAGAATAGCCTATTCAACACTCTTCATGACTAAATCTACCATTTGTACGTTCACTGACGAAATTTATTTAATATTTTCTCTACAGGTATAACCGCCATCGAGCTGGCCGATGGCAAGCCTCCTTATCTAGATATTCATCCGACCAGAGCGTTGTTTCAAATTGTAAGAAATCCACCTCCGGGGCTCTTCAGGCCGTCCAACTGGTCACAATTGTACAACGACTTTATTGCCGAGTAAGCCATGAATAATATTATTTTAGATGCATTAAAAAGGCTTGATACTTATCATTATACAAACATTTTGATGAACATCAAGCTTGTTTACCCGTTGTTTGAAAAATGATAAAATAAACTCTAAATCAGTCTTAGTGAGTAATGTAATACTATAGTGTTAGACAAAAAAAAGTAACTCGTAAAACTAATTTCTTCCATCGTTTCCAGTGAATTCTAGTTTGCAAACCCTCTTAAGTCTTTGTAATGTACTCTTGTACGATCATTTCTGGCCTTATTTACATATAAAACGTTTCTAACACTGTCCATCGCATCATTTATTTATTTATTAAGGGCAATGAGTATAATAAATTGCATGCGCAGTAAGATTATTACATATAATAGGGAAAAGTATAAAAGGACACAAATTATTGGCGTTTATAGTCAATCAACTTATCAGTTAATAATAATTATAATTCTGAGCGAGAGAGAAAACATTAAGAATATTATCTAGAATTATAGGAAGGAATATGAAAGGATAACAAGGTTAGAAGTTCAGGACTATTAATTTCATTATTTAGTAGCTTATACAAAAAACAGATATCATTAAATTGTCTACGCAATTGTAAAAGTTGTAAATTAACACTATTAGTGAGAGTAGTCAAGTAAGTACCATCTTTAATTCTCATTTTATAAGCTTGCTTAAAATATAAGGTTTAAGCTTAGGCATATTATGTTATACATAAATAATCTACAACTTAAAATTAATTGTTATTTTCATAGCAATGTTTTGCCTTGCGAATTAGGAAAAAGGTTATTAAAATAAATTGGTAAATTTTTTACTAGGTACAGTTCATTATTTGCATGGTGATATTATTTCAATAACAATGGCCACAGTGCAAATAAATTACTCATCCCAGATAAATGCAATAGGGTTATAAATTATATTAGTAGGTATACTTTCACCATGTATGCCGTGTAATTATGACTTGATATACTGACGTTTCCTGCTATAATTTAAAACTGACATGAACACACTGTAGTAGATTTAAAAATTCAACAATCTTATTTTACTCGTTACGTTATTTATTTAACTACGCAGATACAGTTTGTATTAGCGCCATTGTCAAAACCCTCGTTAATTTCAATTATTCGTATCTGAGAGCACAAAGGATTCCTATCGCCAACCCATTGCGGACAATGAGCGTTAAGCGCAATAACACAATAGTTGGTACTGAATAGCTCAAAAGACCTAATGATTATATGCTCGACACGACGATTACAAAGAGATAAAAGGGCGACTGACTTGGACAAGTGGGTATAAGTCTTTTTGTGCGTGAATGCATGTAGACAAGGGATCGAGATAAAATTAAATAGGACTTTTATGCGCAGTCAACTAGTCAACTGCAGTGATGTCGAACCGATACACCATACATTCATGTTGAACGTTCATATTGTCATTGCACGTGAAATATTCACAGACTAACATAGACTCGAGAAAAAAAAAAAAATCTATTTGATATAAAAAGTATATTCTTAAAGTATATATGCCGATGTCCAACTAGTTATGATTCGTGCTAATCGTATGTAACGATTATAGGTTGTCCTGCTAAAATACAATTGCAAGTTACTTGCAGCAAGTACATTATTGTTTTCACAATGCTTTTACCAATACCTATTTGTACTTTTACTACCTTCAGTTCACATGGAAGCGATTATTTGAAAGCGATTTTATCGACCGACCATTGTGTATGTGACTAATTTGCACTAAATTTTGTAAATGAGCTTGGTGAACGACTTAGTGAATGAAATAATATCATTGTCTTATCTTCTTCCGTTATTCTTTCTTCTAATAACTAATCCTATTTATTTTACTTCAATTTTTCTTATTTAAATACATTTCTGAAACACCATGGTCATTTTAAATTTAATACTCATAATACTTTTTCTATTTTCCAAGTTTCAAATCAGATTTCTTATGCTTTTTCAGAAACTTTAAAAATATTAATTACAGTAATAAATATCCAGTTATCGCTTGACACAAAAAGAAATGTAAACTGATAAACATATACATTAAATGTTAGTATTAAAAAAAATACAAATTTTGTTGTTTTTTTAATATAATATAATATAGTGATGGTTCTTTTTAGTAATTTATTATATATATATATATATATATATATATATATATATGATTTGTTATGTGTAAATACATGCATTAATTTATAATATATAATGGCAGAAATAAGGTGGGGCTGAAAGGGACAATCTTCTTAAACCAAGTTCTCATCGAGTAGGTATAGAATGTTTGTTTATCACTATGTCATTTTTTCCGCCACCGACATTTTCTCCAAAAATGTTGGGATATTTGTGTATACGATAATAAATTGACAAACATAAAATTATGAATGTGTTAAAGCTTTCGTGGATAATTTTCGGAAGTATTCAGTTTTATGCTGACTTTTTGAATCATTGCATAGTCCATCTTCGGAACGATAGCATCGGTCCACTTTCATGGCTATACTGTCTGGTTCGCTTGTTTCCTAATTCCTACCGCTATTTATTTATGCGTCAATAGTTGCAACCGTGTTTTCTCGACCAATTTGCAACTATGTTTTCTCAACCTTACAGGAAGCTACCGAGTGGATTTTTTCAGTTATATCGGCTGGTTAAAATGTTTGCCTTCCCCTTAAAAAACCGAAATGACACTACTGATGTACCCATTGGTCTGTGTATTATTATAATTGTGATGGCTATTATTCGTTTATTCTAGATTATAATATTAATAAATATTAGAATAGTTCGAATACTAACTAACTGAACTGTTCGATTATACCTCAATCTCTACATTGAAAACACATATCCAGATATATTTCTCGTAATAGTATAGGTACCTATATGGTTTGTTCATTTGAAATCACCTATAAAAATAAAATAAAATTATATACAGGTGTTTGGAAAAAAATCCCGATCATCGTCCGTGCGCCGAAGAGTTGTTAGAACACCCGTTCATAATGCAAGTGCCGGACAAAGTAAGTTTTTAAAATGTCATTTAATTTAAAATGTATACAAAAATTTGTTTTACATGTTCGTGTGTGAATGAGATTAAGTTTTATGGGATTACAAATAGGCACGATCAGACATAAAATCAATCATGGAATCTAATGTGGCCGATGTGACGTCTATCAGGAAAGCAGAAGTCAGAATAATCAGAAACGGATACTTAAAAGTAAGTCGTACCAAATTGTCCATTTTGCTTAAACTCCCACTCCCTCATAATGAGGATTAGTATTAGTATTAACATGTCTAAGATTTAATTTTACTGTTAGCTGTAAATGTAGACTAAAAATAAAAAGAATATCAAAAACATTTTTCAGCCGAGTCTGCAACCACGAAACAGCATTTTCATGTCTCGTTGAAGTACCGAATAAATTTAGAGTAGTGGTGGAATTATAGATAATGATATAGTATATTAACAAGCAGTAACAAGCTAGTGTCTAAGGTGGCTAGTATATTAAAACATATCAAGTGTCTGGCTAATATTTTAGTGTTTAATATCTGGCTTAAAAAAATTCATAAAAATACAACCTCTTAAATTAATTTTGGTTCAAAATGTTTAATAATTAATAATAAGATTATTAAATAACAATAAATCCAAAAGCATAATGTTTGTAGCTAACCAAAAGTCAAAACGTTTATGAATAGGACGGCTTAAGGTGAACGACTCAAAATCTATCATAATTTTTAAAGACACCAAAACCTTCATAAATATTAATGTGTATGTTGAAATACGTTTCTCCTTAATAATTCTGTAGATTGTTTGTGTAAAGGTGGTTATTTAACCCGTCGTTGGTAAACATGTGAGTTTTGAATTCTAGTCGTATAAATGTTTGTTAATTGGCTTGATTATATTATTACCTTCAAATAACAAGTTCACAAATAATTATAAAAAAAAAAGAAGCCGCTAACTATATTTCCTCGCGAGTTACCAGTGTACCGATAAAGTGAGCGCTCACAGTTTATTTAATGTATTTTATATATTATTGTGTATCCTGTAGAGCAACACGACGATCTCCTCAGAAATTGGCTCAGCTTAATTATTTTAAATCATTTATAATCATTAAATTTACATTTTCGGTTTTTTTTTTACATTAATTTCATTAATTTTTATTAACTTATACTATACAATTTTTTTTTAAAATAAAATTGGTAGTGGGTAAAAAGATAAATATTTCCTTGTATGGTTCAATGTTCTGAGTTTATCTAGTAATTAATAATAATGGAAAAAAGTAGTGTGTGAGCGCGGCGCTCACAGTTTAGCAATCGAGTTCTACAATATAGGTTCACCAACGACGGGTTAATAAAAACATTTAAATTCTAGTAGTAGCTTTTACTTTAAACTGGTCTGACTTAAATAACTATAAGAAGTAATTGGCTTATTTTTGTCTCGCAGCGAACAATGCAGTTACTCTTTGATAAAATAAAAATAAACTTTTTATACGACTACGTTATTTTATTTACCATTAAGTTATCTTTTAAACAAGAAACAAACTGCTTTGGTATAGGAACACTAGTATTGGCTATCATAGCTTCCAGGCTTTTTAAAGCTGATGTCTTATGCCCTTTAACACAGACACCTCTTAGCGTTCCAACTCATGTTGAACAAATAATAAAATAACACCATTTTATACCGAAAAATGATACACAGAATTGTTGTATAATTAAAATAATTATCTAAAAAGTTTGTGTATCGATACAGGGTATAAAGTAGATAAAGTTTTTGTATATAAGAATAACATAAGATAAAACTTTGTACTACTCTGAAAAAAAAAACAATTACTATTACAGTAAATTCAATCGATAACCACCGTGAAACCAGGCATTCGATATGTATAGGTACCAGCTATACCCATACCAAGAACCTACACCAGCTAGACGGTATGGTAATGTTATTATAATATGAAAGGTGTTCCGGGGCGAGAACAATGCATTTTAAATTAAATGTTTAGTGATTATTCATCCGTTGTTAATTATATAATGAACACTCTTATTGTTACCCGACTGTCGGAAACCCGTAATTATATTATCTGTTTACGGTGAGATCTTCGGTCCATAATTTGTTCGGGTGTCTTGGAACACGGTTGAAGTATACAATCAACAACGCATACAGTAATAGACGCACGATCAATATTATAATTACTCTATAATAAAATAATTACAATTCGTCACGTTTAGTGTTATAATCGAATAGCTCGTATAATATAACGTGCGACCACTCACGACGGTGTTGAGATCATTATTATATCAAAATATATTAACATGGTATTAAAAAAAACAATTAGAATCTTTAGCTTGGCTGTACTATATAGGTACACTCAAAAGTCTTCCCGGCGGTTTTCGCATCTTCGGTTTAATGCTAAAATATATTTTATTGTCTTAACTTTACTTTAAATACTCGGCTCTTGGACGACTTGATTTCAAAAAATATCCTTTACAGCTCATTTGCGAAGCTCTTTCGGGAGTTACCGGTTTGTGTATTCTCGTATGTTGCAGACCAGCCAAACGGAACCGGCAAAACCTATGCATTTGGAAGATTTGGCTGCGTTAAAAGTAGTGTCTGAAGATTCGGTACTCGACGAACTACAAACTCGGCACCTAAACGGTCTTAGTTATACGTTTGTCGGTGACGTGCTGTTGTACTTGAACCCAAACGAGGATGAAAGTTATTGCGAAAAAAAGGTACATTTTTTAACATAATAATAAGTTATATTTTTTTTTAATGCAAAAAAATATGTACGATGTTAGCTTATTATAAAATTGAATAACACAGTTACTTTTAGGTGTCCCCTCTACTTGACTCATTTTTTTAAAAAAAATCTACAAAGAGGAGAAACCCTAAGCACTCAATCCTAAATCCTGCAAGAATACTTCATAAACATATATTATAGATAAATAGACACCATTGTTTGACGAAAAGTAGCATCCTCCCGTGTTTGGTATCTATATAAGCTCATGGATTTCGTTGCTGAAGCACCTATATAATTTTTTGAAATCATTACTATTATATCATACATATATATTAATAACAAATAATATTTTTACAATCTCCGATTCGAATGGAAGCATTTTTTTTTAGTGCTTTCATAAAATGTATGATAGAGATTTGTTTTTTGCCCTAGATTTGCGAATAGATTTTCCGAGACGTTTTTCTTTAATCGCATTGGTTGTCTTTTCTAAATAATTCTGTTAGTATAATATACCACAGATCCTCCATATGAATAAATTATGATTTTTATTAAATCATGCAAAACTAACTTACTTAAAACACTCCCGAAACTACCAAAGGTGCGAGATAAAGAGACGTGGTTCATCAAAATTGTCAAATATAGTAGGAAGGACATATTTTCAAATACCTACATTTTTTTTTAATTCGGTCAAAAAATTGAAACTCAGCTTATATCATATTATTGTTTTCAAAGGCTTTCGCAGGGAAAGGCCTCACCTAGCTTCTCTGCAAGTTAACAATTATATCCCAAATTTCCAAAATCCATTACAAAATCATAGGCGAACCCCCTGAATTTTTACCTGGGGCGCCCTTGATTGTTTATATTTTTTTTATTAATAATGGAAAACGTATCATATAAATTTTGTTTATCTTTACTACCGATATCAGTAACGGTGATGTTAAGAACATAGTTTTTATTCTTATTTCAGAATCATTATCGGTATCAGTTCAAATGCCGTTCGGACAACGCCCCTCACATATTCAGCGTGGCCGACGCTGCTTACCAGGATATGTTGCACCACGAACAACCACAACATATACTGTTGGCCGGTGAAACCAAGTCTGGAAAATCGTTAAACTACGGCAAACTCGTCGAACACTTGCTATTTCTTGGAGAGGTATACACCGACTTCTCTAAAGTGTACTATTTTTTTTCTATCTTCACTGGCCAGCAAGGGTAATACCGTTTCTCTTATTACTATGCTGGCCATCGTTTATTACCCACAATGTACATACTATAAAGTATAGCTTTACCGAATTTACAATAGAATATATACTTCAAAACCGTAAAAAAAAATATGGCTGCTACCTATACTTTATTTTACTCATTTTGTTTTATCACGCAGTTGAGTCACGCGAAATCCAACAAAATTGGTTTGACAATCAAATGCGCCATCGACGTCATCCAATCTTTTGGGAACGCGGCCAACAAATATCACATGAACTCCACAAGGCACGTAAATCAGACTCAAATCACGTACTCGTCTACCGGTAAACTGAGTGGAGCAATTTTTTTTGTGTATCAATTGGAAAAATGGCGGGTCACAAACGTTAAGTGAGTGTTTGATAATCACATAATAGAGATTTTTTAGTTTTTCCTTTTTTTTAAATTTAACATCAGGGAGTTTTCGCATAACGTAAAACGTAATACGAGAAATATATTCCCCTTGGTGTACATCACTGTATAATGTAAGAAGCCCAAGGTCTAGAGAAAAAGTATATTTTTATGGAACGACCTTTTTTAGCAAAGATATTTTTTTAGGGGATTTAAATATATACATTTTTAGAAAATTCAACACAAATTTTTAGAAATAATTTACAGCATTATTTATTTTGTATTTATGTCAAAATGAGACTTCTTTTGTAACCCTTCAATTTAATTTCTTATAAACAAGCCACGTACTTAAAATTATATTTTTATATAAATATAAAAATAAAATTTTTAAACATGTTCACAACAATGGGCGTTGAAGAGAATAAATGTTTAAAAAATAGTTAAGTAAACATGTATTGTAAACATTAACAATAAACGAAATAAAAATCTTAACACATTATTTAGAGCCAATTCCTAATTTTTATGCCATTTTGCAGCTGTCAATCTATTAATAATTTTATTTGTACACCCTTTATTATCTTTAAATGTTCTTGATAGAACTTTAATTTGTTTAAGTAGCTGTTCTTTTGCATTATTTTATTCTTCTGTTCGAGACCTGTATTAGCGTTATAATAAAATACAAGACAAAATGTTTCGACATAGGCTAATATTATTTAATATTAATATACACATTAAAACTAATAAGAATTAAACTTTTAAACCCAAGTAATAAGACCCGTAAATGCTTCAATTTTTTAACTTTAATTATTTCTGTATTAAGCAAGAACATCATGTGAGACTCAAAGATGTCGATTCTTTTAGGCAATATACCTTTGTCATGGTCAGACTTTTTTAAATAATTATTTATTGTAATATTTTTTTAGGAACTCGGATCATCAAAGTTTTCATGTGTTTTATGACTTCTTGGCCGCCGCCAAATCAGACGGGGTACTAGAACAATACCATCTAGTTGATGGTTATCAATACCGGTATTTGATGAGAGGAGAGGAGTTGATTGATGATGGTCAAAGCGCAAGAGTAACAAATTTCAACAAATTGTTATCCTGTTTAAAAGATACGCTAGAATTCACGGACGATCAGGTAAACACCATTTGGCGTGTATTGGCGGCTATTCTGAATTTAGGGGAAATCCTTGTGATCAAAGGCGACGAAGACGGTGAGACAAAAATCGAAAACGACGACTTGGTCGCCAACAGTAAGTGTCCCTTTTAGTATTTTATGTTCTATCTTTTAAATAGACAATATACATTTATCGCCCTGATTTTTTTACAAACTCGATTAGTGCGACTAATTATTCGATTATTCATAAATAATTTGTTGATTTAGTCGGTTGAATAATGAATAATTATTAGTCATATTTATATTTTATTATTTATTTATTTAATGATTAAAAATTAAAATGGACAAACCTATGTTGACTTTAGAAGTTATAATTTTTATTTTAAATTAATATTTTTATTGACAATTAGCAAATATTTTTAGAGCCTCTTGGATTTAGTTTTTTTTTTGTATATTAACCTAAACATATGTACTTAAAAAAATATATTTGCTATGGAACCAGATTACTAAATATACGATTGAAAAAACGCGGGATATTCAGCCCCAAAAAATAATTGGGTAGAACTTCAAATTATCTATACGAAAAAACTAAGAAGTGAATTCTTTTCATTATTAATTTTATTAAATTTATTTTAATAAAATTTCATAAATTTTGTTGAATAAATATCTAGAATTGTTCGCTGTTGTAAATAATTCAATTTTTAAATAAAATAATATGTTGTATTGTTTAATTCAATTCGTTGAAAAATTATTACAAATTTGAACCCATAATAAAAACATATTGGAATTATAAAGACTGTTACTAAAAATAAAGTGTTTTCAAGGCGATTTATGATTTTTTAATAAGATTTTAGGTCAGTTCCATAACCTGATAGGATTATTGTCTATTATGTCGAAATAATAATTTCGTTTCAATGTTTTAGTCGCTGATTTACTAGGAGTCGACCCAAAAAAGTTGATTTGGTGTCTACTAAACTACTGTGTGGTCGTTAACGGAACGGCTGTTCGTCGCAAGCAAACTGTGACGTCAGCGTACGAAGGCCTCCAAGTGTTTGCTCAGACCCTTTACGCCAGATTGTTCGATTGGATAGTCAACGTTATCAACATGAAGTTATCGATTAGCAGAGCTGTTTTGTGAGATTTTAAACTAAATAGATTACTCACGTTCAATTAATTATAGTTCATATATGCCTGCTTGTTAGATTAACTTTTAACGTAAAACACTTCAATAGTAGTCATTGGTTCTTCAAAACACACTAGTATAAATATAGTACACTTATCCATTATTCCGTATATATTCCAGAGCACTAGGGTAATAACTAATAATGTATCAACTCTATTGGGTATGTGTTCACTGTTCTATAGTGTACATTAATACATGTTTCCATACATTTTAATAACAAAGTCTTCAGTCGTTTTAATACCCACCTTTAATAAGCCATAATGTTTTTTTTTTTTTACAAAGTAATCATAACACACAGGCGATTATGAGTTTCGGCGTTAATTATTAATGATTATACGATTACAGCGGTGATAAGCATTTGATATGCCTTATGGACATGTTTGGGTTCGAGTGTTTCCGTCAAAACAACTTGGAACAATTGTTCGTAAATTGCCTAAACGAACAGTTGCAGTACCATTATATTCAGAGGACATTTGCCTGGGAAATGGTAAGAATCACACTTAAAAGTTTTGTATGTTACTAAAATCGCAATGGTTTCAATAGCTGACAGCACAACTACAGGTGACAAATGAGTAACTGAATATTCTAGAAAGTAGAAACAATTGGGTTTTATAATATATTTATCTGTGCATATTTTAAAAGCATAAAGTTAAGAGTATCCACACTTTGTGCAGATACATCAATACATGGATATGTCCTGCAATCTAGTATCTCCAATATCTTATCTCTTATCCACTATCTCTATTAATTCACCTCCGTAATCCCTCCATAATTCCTCTTCCATACTCCATAATCCTCCATAATTCATAATACTGCACTGTTGCACTTAACATGTCGCTCAAAACGTGACAAATTTTCAGAATGACCCCCAGCCATAAGACATATTCATGTCAAAATTACCTATTTATATATGATAACTGTAAGGTATTAATTTTAATTAAGTTATTTAGGACGATAGCCGTGTTAAACTCTTTAATACATTTAGTGGATAAGGAGTTTGACCTTAAACAATACGGGAGGATATTAAGTAATATTAAGATTTTATTTAAAATATAATAACTTAAGATTGTTAGTCAATATATAAAGTGTAAAATATATTATTTGTATTTTAAAGTTAGTATAGATTTCACAATATTTGAATAAATTAAATCTTCTTGGAACAAGATTTGTTTTTACGCCATGTGGATAATTTAATATTATATTTTTGTGTAGCAAGATTTGGACGAAGAGGGAATTGAAACATATGGCATGCAATATCTGAATAATAAACCAACTATAGACGCTCTCATGAACAACCCGGAAGGATTATTTTACATGTTTGACGAAGCCACCAAAAATGGACACGACTACGCATACATAACGAGTGAGCTTATTAGATAAATTAATTTTATTAATTTCTATAGTTTGGTTAACAATATTTGATTGCAAGTATTTAACTTTTTATTGATTTTATAAGATTCGTTGAAACTACGAATCTATCTATATTTTCTCTTCTTCTCTATCTCTTCTTTCTTTATCTATATTTGAATCTGAGTAATGTTCAAAAATTGTTTATCTAAATTATATCAAAGTGAGGTTAAGATGAGTAGAAAAGTTTGCTTAACTAAATATTGCTATGGAAAACTTGCATGCTTCATAAGCATTTTCTGCGTGAGTCTTTACAGTTCAAATTATTGCACCCACATTTATTTGATTGTGTAGTCAACATCACCATAGCAGTATCGAGTGATCCGTTGAACGCACGACACGTGTTGTGCCTTGAATGCAATTTCTTGCTATCAGAGTATCGGAAAGAATAAATTAACTAATCTTAAAAAGTACAGATATTTGAAAGCTATCAACGAGTTTCCAGGATATTTATAGTCTTATTAACTTTACCCACAAAATGTTGAGCAAAACAGCTATCTCAAATTGGCCAAATATTAATTAGGCGTTGTTGTTTCTTAAGTGACGATATTGTCATGCTAAAAACCGTTGCCACCAATTAAAAGTACTGATATTTTGACCTAAAAATTACGAGCACTATTTCTTCTTTTATCATACAATAAAATTACCCAATTGTGGTAAGCTTGGAAATAATTTCAATACAACAACCAGTGGCTTCTAAAAACTAAATTAATGAGATAATGGCCTTTCTATAATGTTTCTTTCGCTGTTTAATGAAAGAAAAAGTACTGTTCATACGTTATCGTATTGGACATTCCAGTTTGTTGAGTCGGTTTGCTTGGTTTAGCCTGTTATCAGCACGACGCGGTCTTGTTTGTTTGAATTCTAGACGAGCTGGAAAAGAATCCTAAAGAGCCGTACTTGCACGTGGTGAATTCAAAGAGCTTCACTGTGACGCACTACAGCGGTTCGATAACGTATCAGCTGAAAGACATAGTCGAGAAAAACCGCGACTTCTTGGCTCCCGAAGTGGTCGAGACCATGCGCTTGTCCAAAGACAATAGTCTCAAGGATATGTTTACCAACCGCTTAACAAAATCTGGCAATCTGACTGTGAGCAAGGACCGGACAATGCTGGTGAAATCAGCTCCAACCAAAGTCAGCCGATGGGGCGTGGCGCTGGCGGCCGAGAAACACCCGATTAGAGTGAGTACCGTGTCTAATGTTGTAAGCATTGATTTATTTGAGACGTTTCATTTTGAATTACAAACAATTCTGTCTTCCGGGAGCTACCCCGCACCTTTTGGTGTTGTATAATATGCCTGTAATATAGTTTTAGGCGTTTTGTCAACAGAAATACAATACCGAGTCTCGGGGCGAATACTCGCAAACGCATCGGATGCGCACGGCATCAGCTGTTTACCGATCTAGCAGCGTGGAAATCCTTAGATCATTGGTGGACACTGCCGATCAAAAGAACGGAATGCATTTCGTGAGATGTGTGAGAGCCACGTTGTCCGGAGAACCGCTGGGCTTCCAATCGGACGTCGTCAAGCAACAGCTGAAGGCACTGTCGGTGGTCGAGACCGTCTTGGCTAGACAAAACGGTTACTCGTGCCGGATATCGTTCAGCGAGTTCATTCAAAGGTTAATTAATTATTGCAAATGATTTTTCTTTTGGCCTTTTTTATAGTTTGTCTTAAACTCCGCGACAGCTTCAATAGTTGATATTACAATAACCATTATGAATTAGTATAATATACTGGTCAATTAAGGTTAAGCACGAATATTTTAAATATTCTTTGAAAACAGTTAAGTCCAAAAATAATATACTTATAGTAACATTTTGATTGACTTTTAGTTTTTATGATGTCACTATCTTTTTAATGTTATTAAAAAACAACCAGAATTTGTCGTGTAAGTGCTCTTCGGAGACACCGAAGAATGTATGAATATTCGGTTCAAAAAGGAAAACATAATAAAGTATTACATTCGGAACATTTTTGCGGTAAAAAAGCTTTTCCTATTTTGAAAATAATAAATGTTTCCCTTTTAAAAATTATTTTTTCTTGACCAAGCACATAATACGTTTAAACTCTTCGACGTTCTCAAAATTTGTCGGCTTACAATTAAATTTATCACTATTTTGTTCTTTTGCTGTTAGTATAATCTCGTTGTGACAAACAGGTACAAGTTTTTGGCATTTGACTTCTACGAGAACGTGGAGGTGACTAAAGAAAATTGTCGTTTGCTACTGATCCGTTTGAAAATGGAAGGATGGAAGTTAGGAAAAAATAAAGTGTTTTTGAAGTATTACCACGAGGAATATCTGTCTAGGTAAGTTGTTGTACCGTTAAATATTTACAAATCAGGTATAACATTTATCCGGTACTTAGGTTGTACGAGACACAGGTGAAGAAAGTGATCAAAGTCCAGTCTATGCTACGGACGTTCATCACTAAACGAAAAATGGCGCCACACTTGACCAAACAATCCGGTAATGACGAATAATGCTAATGATAACAACAACAAAAATACTAGTATTCTTAAAAACTATAACAATTACGTATTGTACGATTTTTTTTTTTTACTATTCATACATTCATTATAATATATCTGAGAAAAATATAAACGAATGCGGTAGCCACACATGTGTAACGCGCTTGTTTTGTTTGGAAATTTGAAAAATATATTGCAACTTATATACTTATAGTCGGCAAACTGGACAAACCCTGGTGTTTTACAATAAGCTTTAATATTGTAATATTAAATCTTATACCTATTGTTGCCACTTCTGTAGCTTTACCTAAGAGAGACTATGCATAATAATTATTTTTAATGTTTGCTATAATCATAATGACAGTGATAAAATATAGTTACAAAAAATATTTTATAAGAAATTATTTTACGTGACATTTTCAAAAACTTGTGTCAGACTTAAACGCCTGTTCATGTTTTTAAAACAATAGTTTCATAAAAATAACGAGCAATACCATACAAATCAACAAGACATTTTATTTTCATTTTGATCGCCTCAAAAAGTATAATATAGACTTGTGTAACTTGTATGCGTGTAGTAGCAATATCTTATTTTTGGTATGACGGGTTTGCTCATAGAAATTAGAAGTTACGTCGACAACACTTTCTTGAAGTATTCAAAAGGAATTAGCCAACACATGAATGCACTTTTTATTATTATTTGACTTGTAGTGACTTGTAGTCCAAACAACATGATGAAAAACATAAAGATTGCATGTGGTTTTCATAAACAACTTTTTGTATTACGGTACATTTTAGACTATTCGTTTTGCTTAAATATTAACTAAACCGTAATAACCTTTATAAAATTATTAATATGAGTGAACTAGTTCTATAATTTTCTAAGCCCAAAAATTTTGAACGACACTTGTGCAGCTTGAGAACGTTCAGTTGAATTTTTTGCATTTATTTACGTCCATGTGATATATTTAAACACATTTTTTTTAAACAATTACAATACTCCGAAAATTTCAGAAAAAAAAATTTTAATTTAACATTTTATTACTAAAAATAGTACAATTTTATTTTAAAATATTAATAATAATAATGCTTGTGTGACATAACTATATAATTTTTGTTGTTATAATCTCTTTAACTAATTGCATGTTTGTAATTTGTTTATGTTATAATACAATATTAAAAGAAATTTAAATTTGAATGTTTTTTAGTATCTTATAGAGTAGTACTATTTTTATCAACTTTTAAAACTTAAGTAGTGACGTATACTATTTACTGGTCGATAACTAGTTTAGGATTTTCAATTTTTAAGTTACTGTAGTTTAAAATTTAGGACGCGAAGTGGATTACGGTAGAGTATATACCTCACCCTTCCTCCGGTTCTAAATTTTAAAAGTAATTATCTAAAACTGGTTATCGACTAGTAAAAATGTTCAGCAAATTAATCATAATTTAAAAAGTAAATTAAACATAATATACCTTACCAATAAGTTGAAAAACAAAAGTAAATATTTAGTAATTTTATAATATTGAAAAATAAAACATATATATATATATATATAAATAAATGTTTTCAAAAAGAAAAAAATACAAAATTGCAATAATTATGTATTGGAATTGGTGTCTTATCTTTAAAGAATCATCATGTACATTAATAAACGTATTTTCTAAACGATTGCGTTATTTATGTTGATTAAGATAAAAAAAAATATGAATTCGCCTATTATTTTGCAAACTCCTCGAGGATAATATTATACAACTAAAATTATTATTCTTACTACGGATTACGTGGCGCTTTTTTTTTCGTCATCCCCCGGTTATTCATTAAAATGGCGGATAAGAATGGCATGGTATCATGCCGTGTGTGTGCGACCCTTGCCGTCACGAGTGGGCTCATAATACCAGGCGTACTTACGTGCCGGACAGATGAAAGAAGGAGGGTCTTTATTTCGCTTTTTAATTGCGTCCCTTTGATCTCCCTTATTGTCGTCGGGCATCAAAGAAAAACTGTCATCGCCACAGCTTGCTGTTATGGTGATTACATCGCAGCTAATACTACAACTACGGCTACATGTACTACTACTACAACTACTAAGCTTACGACGATGCTACTGCTGATGACGTTTTGAATAATATTTTGAACACGGCCGCTAAATTATACCATGTTATATATTGTTTAACCTAGTACCGTCGCCCGTAAGGCTTCGGCGATGAAAGAGAAAGTTTCGGGGACGTGGAAACTACCCTGGCAGCGATTTCATGTGAAATTTTCTTGGAACTCGAAGAGAGGTGGGCGGTATTGAGAAATAACCCTCAAGAATTGGGTTTTTTTTTTGTGTTTTTTTTTTGTAGGCGACATTTCTCTTCGGACCTTAAGCGCGTGCGTTTCGAAATCTGAGAACCGACAAAACACGAGCACAAGACGGTTATTAAATTGTACTCGGAGTTTGGGAAATGCCGTTGGCCGCAATACACAGACGACAAGGCCCCAAGTATTACGAGTACGTTACGAAGATCCTTTTTTTTTCTTTGCATTTTAGTCTTTTTTTTTTTTAGTTTAGCTTTCTCGATCAATTCACCAGTTTAGCAATCGATTTAGGTGCTGAACTTTCTTTTGACAACTCGTAGATCGTAAATTAATGCATGACCTGTTTATTTTACAATAAAAAAGTCCGAGTATTTTGCAGGATAATTTACCCAATATGATCTTAAAACAATAATTAAAAATCATAAAATATGATATTTTAATTTTTGCCAAATAAGCTTTGGTCATCCTATAATTTGGCCTTTTAAAGCCACATATATTGGGTTATATTGTTGCAATACATTAAAATAATAATCTATACCAGTGATTTTAAAGTTTATATATTTGTAGTACATTATACTGATGTTATTATTTCCTTTGAAAAAGTTCAAAAGTAAGCTATTGAATTATCAAATTTCTGGCTGCTAACGTTTAACATGTTCGGTCTCTCAGATTTTGATACGCGGGACAATTTACCATATTGCTTTTAAAAATAAACTGTTTGACTTTTCTTATATTATTATTATTAGATCGAGAAAGCGTATTCTTTAAGTTTTTCTGGAACCTCATGAAATTCACACACTTTCGTTGTCCGTAAAAAAGTTATATTGAACACATGTGTATAATAGCTAATTACAAAATACAAAATTATATATTATATTATATTATAATGTATATATTATTAATATTATTTTATTCTTAGATAGACCAAAGACGCAGATGCGTTGATAACTTTTTTTCTGGACAATGTAAAATAATCAATCTGTTTTCCGATTTAGATGAATAGTTCGTTGAAATTTAAGCTAGTATAGTTATATTTAATATTGTTTGTTAATATTTAACGCTTATAATATTGATTTTCTTAAGGTGTGGCAAAACCAAAACCGAAGAAATTCGAACACACTTCTTCCCAAGAAGAAGCGGCCATCGTCTTACAAAAACGTAAGTAAATCTTTTGGCGCTATATGTATTTATATACATTTTTTACTGAGCTAAAACCCTTAGTAAAATCAATAAATTTAAGAAAAAAAATTGTCATTAATTTCACAAAGGCAATTTCACAAATTAGCCATTGTAGAATAATAGTTCATTATGGACTACCAAGATTATGAATTAATTTGAATTAATAATTATTTTAATATTTGTTTATTATTAAAATTATTAAATGTTGAGCATCATTTACGGAAATGTAATACAACTGTTACTTTGTGTACTCGATCGTATCGGGTATCCTGAATTATTTGATCTCATATTTCAAACTTAACATTCTACTGTCGCGTAGTACCTATGATATCTACCAACAGTTCAAAAGTGTAATATATATATATATAAATAGCAATTATATGTATAGTTAGGCTTACAGATTTGTATTACAAGTTGAACAAATTTTCCACAAATTCATAACGTGTGAATTTGAAGCTTCTTTTCTGTTTTCTCGCTAAAACTTAAGAATAATAATAAGACTTGACGAATATTATCTTGTAAACAAATCTTTACTCTTATCGTATAATAATATGTATAGATTACAAAGGATATCGAGTCAGGAGCAACATGGCAGCGAACAGTAAGAAAATATATGATTTTCTTAAAATAATTTTTTGTACTTAAAATTTTTATTTTCATTTTTTTTTAGAAAATCTTGATACAGAGGCTAAACAATTGTTAAGAAAATTTTGTAATAAATGGAAAAACAAATCTATTTATCAGTTGATTCTGCTAGATCGGAGCAACAAGATTCAGGATGTCGTGTATTTTTCTTTACAGGTAATAAAGTGTTGGTGATGACTAGGTTTAGAATTAAAAGTCAAAACAAAATAATAATAGCATGATTAAAACCAAGGGTCTAGGAAATATTCCGGAATTTTTTTCAAAATTATTTATGATTTTCACAATCGGGCAATAGTTTTTTAAATTTAATATTTTTTGTTCTACTAAGTTATTTTCTCCAGAACAAATAGATTTCATATTTTTTTAATGTAATCTCGGGATGGGTGGTACAACTTGGTATTCTGCCCGTGTATGTGTTCGTCTTGAGCATTTTCAACAGTAATATTATACTTGTTGTGTATTTTTTTATAAAGGTTCACTTGTATAACCAACACGTGATTGCCAATTTAAACAATGCCAATCAAGGTGCAGTCATGTTATCAAAAATCATGACAACCACGAACGTAAGCGATTTCTTGGGCAGCAAAATGTGTTATTCATATAAAATTCCGTTCAAGTTGGATCACATACAGACCATAAACAGACATACATTTGACATTGAGTCGTAAGTATTAACTTCTTGTGCCAGTCATGAAGCCATTATTTTTATGTACATCTCAAGGATTTAAAAAAAAAACAAAATCGACTCATTGTAAAACTAAACATTTTACTTAGGTTATGTTTTTTTATTGCACCTTAAGTCCAAACCTATGGATACGTATGTTTGACAGAAGATAAATTATAATTTATAATACCCCACTAAATAAACATAGCTTATGTGCGGTGGAGGCGGTCAACGTTTACCAGTAATAGTCAAAGAATTTGTTTAAAAATATTCAACTTACATAGGACACCATTGAAATTGAGTTGCCTATTGCTTGTATACATTGTAGTTTTAGTGGACAAAAGCTATAAGCGTATAAAAATTATAGTAACAGGGAAAATAACTTTATATAATAAATGCCTTTAAAACAGAGTACTTAGGTTTGGAGTTTAATAATAAAGACATTTTTTAGTATATTTATAATACAAATATTGTTTATGTATTCTGGAAAAGTAATACCTGTGTAATACTTGGAGAGTAAGTAGTAAATCGAGTAGATAAATTAAAGTATTTTGGATGAGTTGTACAAAATAATGACGAAATGAAATAAATATATGACAATTAAAGAAAGTGTGGTAGGTTGAGTAAAAAAAAGGTAACAGTGACGAACTAAAATATAAGATAGATGTATGTAATTGGGTGTGATGTGAGTAAAGCTAGCTGTTAAAGATATGACACGTCGTGGTGTTGAATGGAAGTTGTAAACTAGGATGACAGGCTTTAAATACCCGGGAAAAGAGAATTTGTTAAAGAAGTAGGTTTGTCTAGTTAACTCTTTACCTGGAGCTGTCATATTATTTAATTAAGGCTACTTAAAAAAAACTCTTTACTTGTTAAATATTGTCAGCATGATACTTTTGTTTTTTTATTTCAGTGAAAACAGCATAGACGACAGCAACTGGGACAGTCCTCTTAACCGGATACCGGAATCCCGAACGGCTTATAGGATTTTGAAATTCTCGTACGCTGTTCGAGGTAATTTGTCACCAACAATAGCGATTAGCTTGTATTGATCATTTATCTATGTTTTAATCGTTCAGACCAAGGAGTACAAGTTGACGTTAGCCGACCTATAAGTTCCAACAACCATCACGGTCTCGAAAACCGTTCAGATGTTAGTGTTAACATGCGCATGCAAGTTAGTACGACATGACGGTCTTATATCATATTATTAGTTGGACCAGCTATGTCGCTTTTTAAAAATAATAACGAAGAGCACATCTGATGGTTTGTTGCGCTTCAACAGTAATAACGATTTGGGAGTCAAAGCTATAATGCATAACTAAAACTATCAAGATTTACACGTGGTATGAGTTAAGCAACATTTTTTTTTTTAGAATCACAGGTCATTCAAAGAAGAGAAACCCACACAAATGGTAACGGTTGACAACCGTCAGACATCTAAGAACCACAAAGAATTCCAAGCAGCCGTGAACGTGGACAAACCAAAATCCAACAAGTAATTTAAATGTTAATTGTTATTCATGAATATAATTATTAAGCTACATGCACTAGACACATAACATAATATACATGTTACCATACAACCAATCAATAATTAATGCAAATATGTTAATATTCGCAACTACTTTAAATGCTGCCTAATCATTGTTTTAATGCTACCCTCTAGATCAGTTTTTGGTTGTAACACATTTATACCTACCTAAAAATTTGTTGAAGTTTGTTTAGGTTTTTTTTTAAGTATTTATAAATTTAAATGTACTTTAATTTACAAATTGGCTTTATAAACGTTTTGGAAGCATTTCATCATGGGGGATTCAGAGCGGAGGAGGGAGTCTATGGAGAGATAAGCGAACGACGGGACATAGTAGCAACGCCAATTTGTAAATATAATTCGTAACTGTAAACCCTATAACCATATACAGCTCATATTTAAAACATCTACTACTAAGTATACCCAAACATATGTCTTGTCTCGCAAGAGTATTCTCGACACATAGTAATCCTTTTTATCTTAAAAATACAGTTCACATGCTTCATTGATATATTGTTTGTCCTTATTGTTTATATAATTAATAAAGCTTTACAACATGAGTTAACCTCCAAAAAGAAGCTATTATATAAATTATAAGTTATTAAATCTGGTCGGAGGCCGGATCAAGTGAAAAGGCTCAGAATTAATTGGAGCTAAAGTACATATATAAATTATCTAGACAGTAAATGTGTTTATTATAATTTCTTTACTTGGATTTTTGAGGGGTTCCTTGAAATGTTAATACTAATTTTTTTGGAAAGAATGTTTTTTGTACTGACTACTGAACATGTTAACTTATTGATTGGGAACATGTATAATATTGTAACGAAAATATTTCTAAAACAAACAAATAATATTATAAACTGACTACTATTTTAAAATAATGTATCCAACTGACAGTATTAAATTTCATAAATATATCGTGCTTAGAATCGCGTTTTTAGTTTTTTTTTAAATACATTTATCTACAGAAGTATTTTATTAAAGATTTTTGAAAATACTCCAGATAACATAGAGCCATAAACGTTTTATATGTTCAATCTAATTTCCAGACCTAAGTGCATAAATACAGCTATACAAATTAATAATAAAACAAAAAGCTTCCTCTATTAGAGGAAAGGGTTAATATAATTTTCACACAAATTTTAATCTAATTTATACTTTTTCAAAAATTACAAAAGTGATGTAATACGTTAACAAATCAAAAAAAAAATATTATAAACCTTTTCCCCTAAAAAGGGTGGAAACTCTTTTATTCGTTTTTTAAGTGTAGTTTTTAAGCTTAAGGTCTGAAAATAAGACAGAAGGTAAATTTAACGCAAGACTATAACATGAACAATTTTCTTTAAAATTATAAGCCAACATTTTTTTAATTAAGAAAAACCAATAAAAAAAGTGAAAATTATAATGACCATTGTAATTTTTTAGATTTCTATAAGTGAGTGAATCAAAAAAGTTTAAAAAGTTGTTTACTTTAATTAGGTCACCGGACAAGGCAAATCCCATGTTAGAACTTCAGTACAGAGGAAAACAATATCATGCTGATAAAAACGAAGACCAAGATGCGCCTTATAATTTTCAGGTCCGTGTTAAAATAATATTAACTAAAATAACAATCATTATATTTTGTTTTATACATTTTTACAATGTATGTTTTTTTGTGTACTTAAAAAACAAAGATGCTAAATTCTATATGGTAATAATTGAGTACATATTTAAGGCAATATTTATCAAATAAAAAAATTTTAAATTATGCGCCCAACAATATATAACGTCAGGCATTGTTCGTACGCAACTATGTACCTATTTTGCATACGCTGTACGCCTTATAAACGCTATAGATTAACAGTTTTTCACAATGTATAGTTATCTCATTTTACTAGTTCAATATGTCTAAATTATTTTATTTTAGCTAATAATACTCATACATTTATATTTTAGATCAAACAAAGATTAATTTTTATAATGAGGTTATTTTTGTTTATGTGTGCATGTGTTAAGGCTATATTGAAGAAAACCAACTACAAAAGACCATCTTTGGACCGTGGACAACTGGAGTACTCGTCAACTGCGGTGGTTGATATCGAATCTGCGAAATACAAAGAAAAATCAGAAATCTGTTTGTCACATACTAAAAAAATGAAAAATGAGATCAATCAGAGAGTGGCGGCTGGAAAATCGATCAAAGCCGAACTAGTACCCGGCGTAATGGTCGAAGGATCATCTTATGATCTTTAAACTTATTCTCTACACATTCGTCATAAATATTATACTTTGATATCACACATCTAATTATCAGTATTGTAATTAAATAGTTCTATACCACATCTAGTTGCACACAAATACAATTTATACATTATGTATGCAACATAATATATTATATTATAATTTCTTTAAAAATATACTGCAAATTAGTGATGTTATACACAGCATATTGTTAATAATAAAATCAACTGGAAACAACATACTTGCTCTTGATTTAGTTTCGTTTTGCATAAAAATAAGTACTATCCAGTACAATTGCTAGTCTATAGACAATTGTGTCAATAAAACACAAAAATCTAAATTAAAATACATTATTGTAAAAAACCACATCTAAGATATAGCCATTTATAGGGATAAATACATATTAAAAGTACTTAGTGGTTATTAATATCTTAAAATCATGTTTTATTAAAACGTGTGAACAAATTTATCTTTTTGATATAAATATATTCAGTTTTCTCGAATCCATTTATTAATACCAATGAGTTAAAATCCCTTAGCTGACGTCATGTGGGTATTTCGTTTAACGTTCACATGATAACATTAATATGATTCATAATGTGTCCCCATTACATATTAGATATGCATGTCTGAAAATTGTCGTTTGAATTTTTTTATTTTTCATTAAAAATTTTATTAGCTAAACATTTAAAAGTCTGAAAATTCATATGTTGGATAGTTTTTTAATTTTAAGTATTTACATTTAGTTTAGCACGTTTCCGTTTTTAATGTATACTTACATATATTATAGTTTGTTGTTTTAGTGTATTATGTAATATTCTAATGGTATTATTGTGTCATTATTAATAAATGTGAAGTAAATTAATGGTCTTTTAATAATTACAAATTGTTTGTTAGTCATTGTTATGTTAGGGTCATTATGAGCAGGTATAAGAACAATATGCTTACTATAGCACGGCTGTTTATTGACTGACTGATAGTTCCAACGGGGCAATCACAATCAGAGTTGTGCAAATTCTTATTCGAATAATTATTCGAATAAAAATTTATTCGAATAAAACGTTATTCGAATAATTTTTTTACAAATTATTCGAATAAAACGTTATTCGAATAATTTTTCTACAAATTATTCGAATAAATTTTTATTCGGCAATTTTTTTTTCAAAATTATTCGAATAAAGGTTATTCGAATAATTTTTTCACTTATTAACTAATTTTAACTTATTATACAATACCTATCTATATTATATAAACTATTTCTTAAATTGTCCTTGGTTAATTATACCACATTAATGTAATAATATCGTCGTTTATATAAAAAAATTTCTACTGAGTATTCTATTTTTTCTTTTCATATTTGATAAGTAATTCCAATGTGCCTAACACAAAACTCAATTTGTGAAATCTGTAAATAAAATTAAAATACGTATAAAACACTTCACACTAAGTTTTCAAACCTTTGAAAAAGACATAGGTTAATTTTATTTTTTGTAGTTAATTTGTTTTTATTGAATTTAGATGGTGATAAGAAAATTTTAAATTAAATTTAAGATCTATCCTAGTGTTTATAAATAGTGCATAACATGTAATATATAATGTATATTAAAAAAATTATTATTAAAAAACATCACTTACAAATTATTCGAATAATGGTGTACAGTTATTCGAATAATTTTATATATGATTATTCGAATAATGTTAGTCGAATAAAACGTTATTCGAATAATTTTAAATATGATTATTCGAATAATTTTTTTATTCGAATAAAAAATTGTTATCTAGATAAAGACATTATTCGTGTAAAATTTATTCGAATAAAAAGTTATTCGAAAATTTTTTTTCAAAATTATTCGAATAATTTTTTATTCGAATAATTTCAAACATATTTTATTTAAATAAATTTTTATTCGAATAAAAGTGTATTCAAATAACTATTTTTGAAATTATTCGAATAAAAGTTTATTCGAATAATTATTTTTGAAATTATTCGAATAAAAGTTTATTCGAATAAATTTACTCGAATAATGTGTTTATCTAGATAATTATTTAGATAACGTTTTATTCGAATGATGCACAACTCTGATCACAATATACATTTATATAAATAGTTTATAAATATCTACGATAACAATACATCTCTCTTCTTTACAAATAATAATTCATATACATAATTCCATAACATAATAATAATATAAAACATTGAAAATAATAATTTATACTTCATATTTTAAAAGCATAATAATAATAATATAAAACGTTGACAATAAGAACTTCTACAACATATTCTAATAACATAATAATTATAATATAAAACATTAACAATAAATTATTAAATGTGTCTAATATGAAACGAGTTTCTTCTATATATAACACCACTGATCTCAACCAAATACGCCCTAGGTGCTCTTAGTTTTTTAATTATTTTACCTTTAATCCAAATTGATTTTTTTATGCCTTCAACTAAAACTAACTCTCCCTCTCTGAAGTGTTTTCTAACTTTTGCATTCATATCATAATACTTTTTACTCCTTTCTTGATTTCTTTTATTTTCCTCGCTTATATTTATAATTTTTGGCAGAATTTAATATTTTTTATTGGTAGTTTAGTGTTTAAAATTGTTGACATGGCAAGTTGTGCCGGCGAGCTATTTAAACTTGTTATAATTGAATTTCTATAATTTAATAGATATAATCGTATATCTTTTTTTTCTAAAGTACATTTTTTTAGCTATACCAACAAATTTTTCCGCTAAGCCATTACTCTTTGGATAATAAGGACTTGATGTGGATATTGTAAAATTTAATTTATTAGCAAATTAGCATCTAACGCTATCTGCCAAAACCCATCTTTTAAATCTATAACAGTGAAATATTTTTTTCCTTTTAGTTTAGGTATTATTTCTTTTAGAGTTGGAATTGGATATTTAACTATTTTGAGTGATTTATTCAGATCCTGGGGATCCAAACATATACGCAATTTTTTATTTGGCTTTTCTATTATTACTATATTAGATAACCAGTCGACTGGTTCATTAACCAATTCTATTACATTAATTTGTTCTAAGTGTTCTAATGTCTCTTTTAATTTGTTTCTTATTGATAGTGGCACTCGTCTAGCTGTATTTATTATTGGACTTATTTTATCTTTTAGAATCAACTTACATTTTTCAGGGAATAAACCTAACCCCGAGAATATATCTTTATTCTTTTCCATAAATTTATTTTCTTTGTTTATTAATGTTATTCTTTTAACCAATTCTAATTTTTCACACATTTCTGACCCTAAAATAGTCTCAATTTTCTTTTCTTTTTCATCGTGAGATATTATATCATTAACAGCTATAAAATTTCCTTTTACTGTTTTTCCATTCTTAATCTGACACTCTACCCATACTGTTCCCAATGGTTTTATTAAAAAACCTCCAAACGTTTCTATTTTAATATTACATTTGTTTATTATAGGCTTTGGATTTAATTTGTTATACATATTATACGGTAATATGCTTACCTCCGCACCTGTGTCCAACCTCACTTCAACATTAAGATTATTAATTTTTATTACTTGTAACCACTTTTTGTCATCGGTTTTATTTTTTACCCTGTCTTTATTAATACTATTTACAGTTAAGTACTCTTCTTCACTTCTCATTTCTTGTACTTTATCTAAATTTTCTGTTTCTATTAAATCCATTACTCTCACATTACCCTTTTTATTTTTACACCCTACTGAAAAATGATTCATTTTTGAGCACTTATTGCACTTTTTACCATAAGCAGGACAATTTTTTGGCCCATGTTCACGATTACATTTTTTACATAAATATTTGACATTGCTTTTATTTTTATAATTTATATTACTATTAAAGTTTACATAATCTCTATTATTTCTACTAAATTGTTTACCTTTACCGTTGTTTTGTTGCCATTGATAGTTTGATTTCACCCTGTATACTGACATGTTTCCATTGGCTGTTACTGTTGTTGTTTCAATTTCTTGTCTGCTTTTTTCCGATAACTCGATAGATTGACAAAATTGAACAGTTTTCTCCAAATCCATATTATTCTCCAAAAGTTTTTGTTGTGTTTCTTTGTTTTGTATTCCCAAAACTATTTGAGTGCACATTAATTGATTCTCTGCATCTTTAAACTCGCAATTTTTTACCAGTTACTTGAGATCCGTGTAAAATTTGTCAAATGGTTCCGCTGTGACTTGTTTCCGTTGGAAGAATCTGAATTGTGACATAACCAAATTCCTTTTTGGTATGCACCAGGATTTTAGAGCATCCAATATCGCACTTACTGTTTGTTCTTCTATGGAGTCTTTTATTTGGAAGTAAATCTTCCTAGCTTCAGCTCCCATTATATTTTAAAGTCTGGCAACTTGGATTTCTTTCGATTTTTTGTACGTTTCATTGGCCGTGAAGTAAATGTCGACTTCTTAACGAAACAATTCAAAGTTTGATTCGATATTACCGTTTAGATTTGGTTTTTCCGGTTTTTCGTACTCTGCCATTTTATTTTAATTTTATATAGTGTTTTAATTACGCACTACACACAATACCGTCTGCGCCATGTTATGTTAGGGTCATTTTAAGCAGGTATAAGAACAATATACTTACTATAGCACGGACGTTTATTGACCGACTGATAGTCCCAACGGGGCAATCACAATATACATATTATATAAATAGTTTATAAATATCTACGATAACAATACAGTCATTTACACATCTACCAAACTTAAATGGTTATTATTTAAAATTATAATAGATATAAATATATTAGCATAAACATTTACCATATAATCTTAAAACCAGAATAAAATGTCTGGTCTACCGCTTAAACGCTGGGGGAAATGTTCGTTTACCGTTTGTTGTTTATAATAAAGGAAAATTGTTAACTATTATTGCGAGTTGTGTAATAAAAAAAAAAGCTTACCTTTCCACAGTCTCGAAATAGTACAAACTTTTCGGTCTCTCTCTGTCTTCTGTAAAAGCTTCGTCATTGCTTTTTAATAAAAAGTGATCGTCTGAGGAAGATGAAGATGACGTTGAGTCAAAAAATTCCAAATCTATCACATAAGGCTACATTTTAAATCGCATAAAATAATAATATGTTAGATGTTTCCTATTTGCTCT